GCCACCTAGATAAAAGTGACGAATTAGATTCGATATATCTCTAATTTTAATGCCATGTAGATAATTATCTTAAATCATTAAAAAAATAAAAAAAATATCTTTTCACATTAAAGATTTTATCATAAAATATCATATTTACATTTTTTTTTTAATAATGTGATTTAAATATTATATGATAAATCTTCACCAAAAAGAGCCGTGCATATCAGATGATTTAAATATCATATGATATTAAACACCCAATACTCTTTGATTAAAATATTCTATGATAATAAATATCATTATAAAATATGGCTTAATTTCATCATGCATGTAAGTTTTGTATTGGTTGTTGACTGACCATACAAAAAATTAGGATTCATAAATTACTTTGCCATGTTTAATTTAGACGTTAGTTTTGACGTCATGATGTGATGTATAAAACTCATGTTATAATTTAATAACATGTGGTTTAATTTAAAAATCTATTTATAATGGACCTAAGCCAAAATAAAATATCATAATTTTCAATATTAGCATTTGATAATCATAACTATCAATATAAGATAAAATTTATTTTATTAATAACCCAATAAAATAACATATCTACCATTATACGATAAATTTTTATGGTGTTTACAATAATAATTATAAATTATTCGTTAATTATAATTAAATTAAAATTTGTGATACCTACCATTATAAATTGACACATCATACATCACCAACAAAATTTTGTATCAATACAAAACCAAATCAATTAAATTTTGTGTTAGTAATTGTGTCAGTTGTAGATCATCAATGGCAAGGTAATTCTTAGCTTTTTTAAAAAAAAAAGTATATTCGTATTTGTTACGTACATTGTGTTTATTTTGGGATTTATGTTTATTTTTTGTTTTTACATACAGATCAAATTTAATTAGAGAATTAAATTCAAGAAAAAATGATTGGAAAATCAAAGTACGTGTTTCTCGCCTGTTTGACGTACTGAATTTTCGCAAACAAGATAGCTTAATAAGTTTGGATATGGTCCTATTGGACGAGGAGGTATTTCTTACAAAATATTGACCTCTATTAAATTTTTAATTGAACCTCTTTAGTTTATATTATAACTAATTAACTTAATTTCTTAATTTTTAATTACAGGGTGATTACATTCACGCCTCAATCAAATCCAACTTTGTTCAACCCTTTCGTTCAAAATTGATTGAAGGAAAAGTTTACACCATTAGATACTTTTCAATCATTCCAAATAAAAATCAATATCGCATTGTCAGTGACAACAAAATAATGAATCAATTTTGGGTTTTTCTAAACTATGCCCCTAAGGTAGTCGAGTTTCTAATGTATACCCATGTTTTTTCAAATTTCTAAGTTGTGCCCCTCAACTCACTACCATTAATGAATGGTACCCTCCTTGGACTTCCACGTCACCTAAAGTTAACTATAAATTTAATAAAAAGATGATAAAAGGTAAGGAAATGATACGAGAAAGAAATCTTAACCATAACAACCTTAATAACGATAACTAAGCCACGAAATCACACTCTCAATTAACTTTTAAATAACTAATAAGGGTACATTTTAGTATTGATAAGAAGTTGAAGGACACCGCTTAGAAACTTGAAAAAACATGGGTACACCATAAAAACTCAACTAGCTTAGGGGTATAGCTTAGAAAAACCCTTCAATTTTTTCAAAACACTATTGTCCGAGCTATTGGAGATGATGAAAAAATACCAATGCATAGATTTGATTTTATACAATTACATTCTTTAGATCAATTTCGCAACAATTATTCACTTCTCGGTAAGTATATTGGTTTATTTTATCTAAATGTATAGATTGTTTTATATCAATTTAATTTTTTCTATTATTTTAGTGTTGTATTTTTATATTAGATGTAGTAGGTATGGTTGTAAACGAAATTGGTGATTCTATTGAAATAGAAGATAAATGGTATGTATGTTTTTTTTTTAATTATTTTTAAGTAATTCTTCTAACATATATTTATTTTATGTGTATCTAATATTTTTTTTGTAATTAGGGGAAAACGAGTTCAAATTAAGCTTTGGAATAAAGTTTTTACTGGGTATACAAAACAGAAAAACCAACTCAATGATTTATAAAGTTCTTTATTAATGATTCTTTGCAAAAGTACAAAAAAAGCACAAACATTGTCTACAAAGAAGTTTTCTCAAACTTACCCTCAGTGTAATAGTCATATCTTTTTTTTAGACCCAAATTTTACAAATACTTTTTATTATAAGCAAAACACAATATTTTTATAAAAGCATACCACATTAATCATATAAATATTTTAATTTTTAAATAATCCATATTATTCATTACACTTACAGAGTTACAAATCAATTAAAACATGCTCAATTAATACATGGGCAGCAAGAATGAGATAGTACATGCTCAATTACTTAGTATTATTCATTGACAGAGTATTTAAATACAAGTATTAAGTGACCACTATAGAACAATTAGTCAACGTACTACCTTAAATAAAAAGATTACAAAGTTTAGACTATACTATACATGGCATTAAAGAATAATATAAATACTAAGATAGGATATTGTGATTGATCGTAATCAATCATGCTCATTCATCAAGGCTGCAATTTAGGAGATGATTTCTCCTTAACTGCTATCTATGATATCTTTCTTTCAAGATTAAAATTAAAAAGATTAGACATCCTCCTATTATCCAAAAACAAAGTATGGTGATTAGTTAAAAGTTTTGATATTATAATTAGTTAGTTTTTCCTTTTGTTAGTTACAATTAACAACAACAAGCAACCACTACTATGGTGATTAGTTTCTATTATCTCCTATCCCTTTTCTTTAAAAAAAAAAAAAAATAATAATAATAATAATAATAATAATAATAATTTCTTCAAAGACAAAATAAAAATAAGTGTTCCAAATCTAGCCAATAAACCTCATGATTGACACAACAATTTAAGTCTTGAAACCACCTCCTGACCTCCACCCACGTTTTCTTCTAATATGTTAGCAAGTAAGCAATGAACTTTAATTTTATGCACATTTAACACTACAATATACATATATAATATTCATTAAAGTACAATAAAACTTCAATTTCTAATTAATGCACTGCAACATGCAACATTTTTCAACTCAATTAATGATGACAACAAGAAAAACATTAATTTAATTGGACTAAACTAATCCGTGCATTGCACTGGCTTCACACCCAGTTAAGTAAAACAATATAGTAAAAAATATAATACTTTGTAATAAACTTGAATTATAAACAAACAAACAAACAAACAAAAATTGTGTAACTTAACAATGATATTTTTTTAATCATTATGATGTAATATAGTTATATTTAAAAGGTGGGTCTTAGTTGGGGATTAAGTGGAGGTGGATATCCAAGTGGGGTGGGGGGTGGGGCGGGTATGATTTTGGGATTATACCCGCCAAGGCGGGGGATGACGGTGAATTTTGGACTCGTCGCGAGGATGGGGTGAGAATGGGGATGAGAATGTTAGGCAGGGATGGGGATGGGAAAGCCAATATCCGCCCCACCCCGCCCCATTAACATCTCTATTTTTATGATTTCAAAACATGGAATTAGTAATTGAAACTAATTCCAATAGATAATTCAATCTGGATTTTGAAATGAATGAATTGCAAAACACAATAATAATTAAGTGGCAAGAGAATTATAATACCACATTACCACTAGACTGATATGCTCAATCATATTATATGACACCATAACATAAATATAAAATAAGATTTAACAAAATTATATTAAAAAAAAAAAAATTTATCTAAACTAACCTCAGTAGCCGTCTTCCTTCTCTTCTTATTCCTGGTGTTCTTGTTTGATGCCTCAGCAACATCCCGATTCACTTCAACACTAAATCACAAAAAATCTGATTTCAGAAACAAAATTGTTCATACATGGAGTGGCAAAATTCGATAAAGCATTAAATACCTAGTTGTCCAATGAAACAAGAAAGCAATAACACCATTCTGATACCTCCGGCTCCTTAAAGCTAAAGAAGTAATGTACTGGAATCGCCTTCAGGTAGTCAGGCTAGTCACTTACTGTTAGTTTAGATGAACTAGTACAAGAGGGGGGGTGAATGATAGTAGGTTCCAATCGCGGAACTTATGCGGAAATTAAAAACACAACATAAAGGAACTTAAAGCACACATCAAGATTTACGAGGAAACCATCCAGTGCCTGGAAGTAAAACCTCGGCCCTATTGGGACTTATAAACAAATTCCACTATGATAGGCAACTCTCCTAGTACAACCTATTACACAGACCTTTGCTTCACAAGTTCCTCCTCGGACACTTGCTAACTGATAAGAACCTATCCTATCAGACCCAAGACACACTCAAGACACACTCAGGCACCTTTTTCGACCCAAAACACACTTAGGTTCCTTTCTCGACCTAAGACACACTCAAGTTCCTTTTTCTCAATGTGCAACCCAAGACACACTCGGGGTGACTAACTACCACTCGAATTTGAGAGAATTCAAACTCATACACTCAAACGTGAATTTAAGAGAATTCACAATCTCACCCTAAAACCAATTACAACACAAAGACACACTCTAACACATAAATGGAAAGCTACACATGAAACCCAAAATCAAAATGATAAAGCTTAAACCTTTGGCAAACTTACTCTTAAGCACTAAGTGGTTTTCACGCTTAAAACTCTCATTTTGCTTTGCTGAATTGCTTCTATATTTATAGAGGTTCCTCAACTCACAAAATAAGATTTTCGTAAAAAAGATAAGTTAAATAGAAACCTAATCTTATTTTTTTAAAACTGAAACCAAAACAGCTTTAATTTCGTTTTATTTGAAAACCAAATTTTATCAAATTCGTTTTAGTTAAAAGATAGAATTTTATGAAAAAGATAAAACCGAGTTAAATCAGATTTTTAGGATAAAATCAAATAAATACTTTTTCATAATTATCTTGTATGAATTGATTAGTTTGTCAAGCCTTGTCTGATTTCTAATAAGTTCCATGCATAACAGCCATTAATGAGTTTACATCAACCTACAAATTAAACTTATCTTTTATACAACTATAAGTTATGAAGTCCATCTTTTTCGGTTGATATCTCGATCTTTGCACTGATCCTTGGTTGTTGAGGCTTGCCCCAGCATTACACCGGAACCAGGTCGTTACAACCCGTTTTGAAGTTTCTGTTAAGAAAATTCGGGAAGTTCCATTGCTGGAACTCTTCTTCTGTCTTTACTTGCCCTCATGGTTCTTCTAAAGCTCCTTCGTCTCAGTTCCTACTTCAGCTCCCAATGCTTACTAAACCTACAAACATCACAACACTAAAATTCTTATTAAAAGGAAGTTTGCTCAATTCTTAACATCATCATCAAAACCTCATAAGGGTTAACACTTACCCACCCAGTTATTAAGAGAGTAACTGACATCACCTTAAGTAATAGACTTTACAAATTTTACTAATTGCTTAAGTCACTTGACTGAACTGATCTAGTGGACTGTAACCTGAACTATGACTGAAAAACCTCCTTTGATGTTTACTACTCCCTTCGTTTTTAAATACTTGCTCCATTTCTCTAGGACACGCATGTCAATGCTAATTTTTGATCACTAATATCTTTAATTATCAATAAGTATAAATTCTAACAATTGAAAATTAATAATCTATTCATTGAGACGATTTCAACAAGTGTCCATAAGACTATTTTTTCTTATGTATAAATCACAAACATTAATGAAAGTAGGACAAATGAATAGTGCAAAAAATAGAAATGGAGCAAGTATTTAAAAACGGAGGGAATAGTTCGTAGTCTCCTACCATCATTATGCGCGGCTAGTGATAAACTGATAAATTACCAATGCTGTCAGCGAACGCACAAAAGTTCTAGCAATTTCTAGTTTTACAATCACCCATTATTCCATTAAATTCAATTTGCTAATTTAACATTATACGGAGTATAATGAATAATCATACATTTAGAAACAACTAGCGTCAAAATTTATATGCCAAACTTCGATCATATAATTCAATCAAGCATTCAAACTAACAATTTAACAGATTAATGATTGCAATTAAACTACTAGAAAATTAAATTTACATCAAAATCAAAATCATATCATAATTATACCTCTAAGAAACCCTCAGTATCAATGGAAACTTACTTAGTATGAGTAGTTTTCTTCTGAGATGATAATCTATGGTGAGAGTTGATTCCTTTAGAGTTAAATTTGGTAGAGAAAGATGAAGAAACAATCGGAATCGATCGGAAATACAAAAGAAACAAAACAAACTAACCTTATTCGGCTTTCTCTATAGATTGGCCACAAAATCAATAATTTATACAACAATTACATCTTTCAAGTTTCAACCATACATTTTAACAAACTAAAAATCAACAAATTTGCCAGAACAAAAATTTGATTTATAGTTAGAATCTGAATTGCAATTTAAAAAATTATTATAACAATTTTTGTAAAAAAAAAAATTAAAAAAAAAAACAAAAAAAGAAAAAACAAACTAACCTTTGAATAAGAACCTCGTCGCAATTGATTTACAAAACTAATTAATCGTCAAGGAAGTACAAAACTCGTCTCTGTTTTCGACTATCGGCTCGCTATCGCCTCTTTTTTTCCCCAATTCCTCTTCGTTGTTGTACAAACTACAAACTACAAACCCCAATTCCTTTCCCTTTCGTGTTCTATAATTTGTACTCGTAATTTAATGTTTTCTATAAAAACAATGGAAGTTCAAGATATTCCCATAATTGAAGCTAGAGATAGTAAGGTTATGTTCTTTTGAGCTTAGTCGAGCCGAGCAAAGTCGAGCAGATTATTATTATTATTACTATTATCACTATTATTGTTATTGCATTATTATTATAATCATTTAATATTTTTTATTATTATTAATATTATTATTTATTTATTATTATTATTATTATTATTATTAAAAGTTGATACTTTAAATATTAGTTAATATCTTTAAATATTAATTTTTATTATAAAAAATAAATTATTATTTTTATTAATAATTATTATTATTACTATTATTATTATTAAATATTAATTATTATTATTATTAAATATTTATTATTATAATTTAATATTAATAATTATTATTATTATATACTAAATATTTATTATTATTATTAAACATTAATTATTATTATTATTAACTATTAATTATTATAATAATAATCAATATTAAGTATTATTTTTAAGCAAAACGGAGTAGATTGAAGCAGAGCAGAATAGAGCAGCACTAAAGAATAGGGCCTGAGTTAGATAGTTAATCTTCTTATTTGAAGCGTATTTTGGGTATCATTCAAAGTAATGTTTAAAAAAACATTATAACTGAATGGAATTGACTTATTGAATTTGATAAATTTGATGAACTAGGTTTTTACAATGAATTACTTCATACATAATTGATTTTAAGTAATACGGGTTGAAAAAGATACGATTTTCTGTTTTGCAATATAATGAATTTGTAATTGTTGTTAGATAAATGGAATTGATATATGTCGATGCATTTGTGTTGGAAGATAAGGACTTGTAGTATGTTGATTATCAATGGTGGGTTGTAAATAGATTAAAAGATTAAAAATTGTTATTTGAGATGAAATACTACAAGAGGGGGTGAATTGTAGTTGGAAACTTATAGCAAAATTTAAGTGGAATTTTAATCGAAAGCTAAAAATATCACAGAGAAAGCAAGAGAGAATTTTACGTGGAAACTTCTTGGGCCCAATCCGAAGAAAAACCATTACCACTACGGATTTTACTAAACTCTTTCACTATAGGGCAACGACTCTGTTACAACCTGTGTGGACCTTTACTTGAGTTCCCATAGTTGTTCCCTCAAACAAACTTCTCATGTTCCCACATAATCAACTGTTCTCAAGTTCCTACAATTGTTCCCTCAAACAATTGTTCTCATTAATTTCTACTCTAGGCTCTCTCGCGTACATACAAAGAACGCACTCAAGTACTAACCCCACGAGTTCACTTAAACCCTTTGAAATTCCCCGTTATAAGAGTTCACTTAAACCCTTGAACAATTCTCAATACATATAAAAGATATACAATATAAAACTAATATGTTGGACCCTTTGAGACATGTAAGAAACTTGGAACCTAAAGGAACTGACTCAAAACGTGGAGAGAAAAAATTTTCTTTTCTACTACTCTACCACTTAAGATATACGCTATCTTTGAATGAATCACTAAAGTCAGACAAACTGAAATTAAAACTTAGCTCTCCTTTTATAGCATGCACAAGACTTAACCACTACTCCTTCTTTATCCTCCACTATCAATCAATTCCCTTAATATTAGGTAACTGCCAATTACTTGGGCAATAGAGAAACGTGGTAAGGAATTAGCTTAATCAAAGTCTTATGCACTTTGTTGAACATGGAGTAAAATTAGGAAAACTGATTTCTTGGAGAGAAGATAAAGGTAAACAATTAAAAGTTTATTTGATGAAAAATATAATTATGTAAAATAATACTTAAGAAATATATTTTCCAAAAATAGTTAAAATCTTTTTCCCAAAACTAATTTTATCACATTTAAAAACTTTATATTTTTAAAGAAAAATAACTAATTATAATTCATTCATTAAAATGGACGTTTACTTATTTTTCTTTAACTGACCCGTAAGGAACTAACTAGTCACCTATAGTTTCCTTCTAGACTGTCAGGCTCAATTCCTTCTAGGCTAAAGTTCCAATTTAGATTCTTAGGCTTGTTTCAAACAATTTCTCTTGTCCAACATACTTACATGATTCCTAGAAAAATATACTCTTATCTCTCTGTCGTCTTTGAAACTTCTACTCCAAAGCTTCTGTTCCTTTAAAGGAACTTCTTTTTGTTTGTTCCATTAAGGAACTGCTGCTTGTTCCTTTCAAAGAACTAACTTCTAGTGCTTCTTAGGAGTTGCATATAAAATCCATAAGAACGTTTGAATGTTTAGACTTATTCTCTTTTATGTTCCCTTGAGGAACTTTTCTCTTTGTGCTCCCCTGAGGAACTCAAGCACGATTCATACTTTGTAATATTCAATAGAAATCTAATATGTACTCAATAATCTTCATGCCTCATGGCTTGTTCATGCACATTGTAATACATATATTAGTTAGATAATCATCATTTGTTATCAATCATCAAAACCATACAACAATAATGTATGATTTAGCTGTAGGAGTTTATAGGTACTACACAGCAGAAAAACATGAATCATATTCATACAGTACCTAATCCCAAGATCTAATGCATAACACATAAAGAACATATAATCATACCTTTTAAGGGTGATTCCACGTGCGATCGAGCAAGAACAATGGGAGATAAAGAACCCCAAGTGTGATTCCTCTACTTGGTCCACGGGCACAGATTAAGACCTCCACTAATTCTAGTTAGTTGCAATTGAATCCTTCAATTGACCTTCTACGGAGAAGAGCGAGCCACGAACCACCACACGCGCCACCAAGAGTGGCCGGCCGTACGGACGAGGGGAGGAGAGAGATAGCCGTGAGATAGAGAGAGGAATTAGGGTTTTGGGATTGGTTGCCTTGATGTCAAAATACACTGTGTGTGAATTATGACTGCTTGCAAGCAACCCTAGGCATGGATCTTATTTATAGATCTCATCTCTAAATAAGAGCCCATGTCAAAAGCCCAAAACCTACTTCTCATCTAACTATGCTAGCCCAATCCATTTTATGATTAGTTAATTGCTCATGAGGCCCATTAATGGGCCTCTTACTTGCTTAACCCAATACCCTTGTTGTGTGACCTCATAGGATCCATTCTAGTAGGCTTTGGACTATTTGACTAGCCCAAAGATCATTGATCATAGTCTAGCAACAGATAATGACGTCCCAAAAGAACGAACTTATTATCTCCATAATAGTGATCCTTGATATATCTAATAATTGCACTTATCAAAGACACAATTCCTTCAATCTCCCACTTGTCTGAGACAAGTGCGCAATATTCAAATCTCTTAAGTCAAAGTGTGTCAATTTGATAATATGATTTCATCTCATGTCGTGATCATATTAATCTACAAATCTTTTCTTGAAAACCGAGTTAGAATTACAAAACAAATGATTACTATGTAATCCATTTGAGCACGACCATGCATTTTCTGAATTCTCCCTCTTCTGAATTAAATAGGTAGACACAATCCAATCTTGTGGCAACCAAGGCTCCCACTCAAATCATGAGGTAACCAGGAAACACCCTTTATAATCTCCAGTTACGAGAAGACGTTTGAATGTACAAAGTTACATCAATCATTGAATGAAATCATTGTTCCACTCATGTCAAAGGAATCCACTAATATATTCGGAAGTTCTATACTTGAACTTCAAAGTAGGTCTATAGTTCGATCATGCATCATTCATGCATACCCATGTAATTGACCGAGCTTCACTACGCTCCTATAGCCCATGAAACTGCGCTATCCAATCAATCTTACATGCTAGTCCAATTTATGAAATCATTTATGTCCACTTTAATGATTCTGAACTAGGAACTTAAATAATGTATGAATTTAGTTCACCTGTGGGGTTTCATTCACCAGGTTATTTAAATAAATTAACCTGATGAGCCCATGAATCCATAATTATTTTGAGCATTTTATTTAATCTTTAAACCATGATTAAATAAGATTGAAACTTTGTTTCAATTGATAAACATAATTCTGCAAATGAATGTATTACACATGTAACTTGTTTTTCTCCAAAAACAAATACAACTTCTAATTACATCATTTGACTCAATCTAGTTTCATTAGCATGTTTCTTATGCTTTGGAAATGGAAGGGTTTTACTAAGTATAATTCATGAGACATTCTCATAAACATGAATTTTGCAATTTCTAAATCTTATAATCATTTTCATCTCTATACACTAAGAATTTTTCTTCGCCCTTTCGCAAGGAACTCTGGAATTTCTAATTTGTATTCCAACGTTATATTAGATTTCGATTGAAATATATCATCACTTGTATAAAAAACACGTGAATCAAATAGGCGAGTATAGTCCATGGAATGCATGATGCATCCTTTGCGAATTACATGAGAATCATCACTCAAAACCTTAGTTTCATCAACCTTTATTAAAGTATTGAATCATTAAGCAATGTGCCATGTTACATGGGATTGAAACTCCTTTCAATATAACGTTGAACCTTATAAGAATCTTATCAATATAAGCTTCTTAACCAAACTCAAACATCCTTCGAGACCTATCTTTATAGATCTTGAATCCCAAATGTACTCATCATCCTCCTCAAGGTTTTTATACAAAATGCACTATCCATCACTTGACTCTTCAAGCAATGAATAATTTGCTCTTTATACTAGAACAAGAATACTTCATAGCTCCCACTAAAAATCTTGTACACACAAGACCTTTTCTTCATTTTACGAGAACATCAAACAATTTGATTATCTCAAAAATTAAGAACATTAACTCCATGATGCTAACTTCAATCCATTAAGGATCTTTTATGCATCCATAGGATTATTGTTTTTCAAAACCATATTGATTGTATCGTATACAAATCTTCTTTCATGAACAATTTCAAGAAAGTGTTTTGAAATCCATCTACCTGTAGGGAATAATTTCAAGCCTTTAAAATCCCACTAGCTCGAACCCCACTGTTATCATACACTAAAGTACGGTGGGGTCCAAAAGGGAAGAAGATAGAGCAAAATAGTTGCCAACAAGTTTTTTAGGAACTTGTAAACCGTTCACGAGGTGAAGGTTACACCCCTTAACGATCCAAGAGAT